ATTCGCTCTACTTGGCAGGAACTTTTTGGGGCCGGTAGGCGCAGTGGAGTTTGCATTGCAAATTTAGGTAGCTAGCCAATTGTTGTGATACCTTTGCTAAGAAGGCTGGCCCGTCATCCGACCCTACAGTTCCAGGGAGACCAAATTGAGGGAGAATTTCTTGTAGTAGTTTCTTAGTAACTACTAAGCTCTTTTCTTTCCTGGTAGGGAAGGCCTCTACCTATCCTGAAAAGGTGTCTATAAAAGCAAGTAAATATTTGCAGCCCCCCACAGTCAGAGTTACCGAAATCTACTGCTAGTGGTCCCCCGGATGTTTCTCTTTCTCTATGCCTAGGTTCTTCTATCTTCCCCTTTGGATTAACTTGGGCACAAGCTGGGCATCGTGAGGCAATCTCCTCTGTGGCTCTTCTCCCTTCTGGAGCATCTTAGTTCGCCCTAGGTGTGTGGTCTGGTGTAGTTGGTGGAGGAGAGTCCTTCCAAGGGCCCGTGAGCCTGATTTTTCCATCTGGGGTCGTCCACCACCCCTGTTGGTTCCTAGTGGCTCCCTTGTCTTGAAAATATATGTTTTCTTCCGCTGTATAGGTTGGAGATGGAGGCAGTTCTGGGTAAGGGACAATGGTCAGTAGATGTGGTGGGAGCCCCACTGGCCTTGTAGCCGCTGTTTTTGTCTCTGCATTGGCTCATCAGTTTCCCTTAGCCTCAGGACTATTTTCTTTTTGATGTCCTTTACAAAGAACAATAGCAAGAGTCTTAGGTATCTATATGGCTTCAAGTAAGGCTAAGATCTCTCCCTTGTTCTTGATGTCCTTCCCAGCTGAAGTCAGAAGCCCTCTTTCCTTTTAGATGGCTCCGTTTACATGTGTAGTGGCAAAGGCATATCGGCTGTCAGTGTATGTTATGACTGCCTTATCCTTTCCCCATCTTACTGCCTTAGTGAGGGCGATGAGTTCTGCCTTTTGGGCAGAAGTCTTATGGGGAAGAGCTTGTGACCAGATGGTGCCGGTTAGAGTTACAATCAGTGCCCCAGCATACCTCCTTCCTTCCTGCATGAAGCTGCTCCCGTCCGTGAACAGAACTTCATCGGCCTCAGGCAGAGGGGAGTCTTTGAGGTCTGGCTGCAAGGAACACACAGCGTCAGTGAAATCTGTGTAGTCATGAAGGGGGGTCTTGGGGTCTGGGTCTGGCAACGGATTGGCTGGGTTGATAACAGTAGTTTTGGATTTTAGCCATACGTTTGGGGTCATCCGGTGCCTCCCTGTTGTTGAACACCTTCTGGGCTATCTCAACAAGTTGAGACAGGTTCATTCCTGTAAATCCTTTTCATTTTTTGCAATTTACGCCAGATATCAGGGGCTGCCTGAGTAGCAAAGGCTATATTAATTGCCTGCTGGTTCTCAGGGGCCTCAGGATCAATGGGGGAGTATATCCGGTATGCCTCGTTCAAGAAACGCTCCAGGGGATTCCTGAGGTCCCTGCCTGTATAACTTAAGTTACCTTAGTTTTTTTTTATATAACTTCATTTACCTTAGAAAGGTTAGTTGGCTGATGGGCAGCCATCCAAATTCCCTCAGTTAGAATTTGGTGGTACCGATCTAATGCCATTCTCCCTGCCTGAGAATTGTGTCCCCAGTCTGGGCAGGTGGAGGGAAATTCCTCCTCAATCTGTTCCCCTGCTTCATCAACTCTCCTCCCTACCACAGCTATCTTTTGTGTTTCAGTCCGCGTTCGGTCCGCGTTCTTCCTCCGTGAAGGGGGTAATTAAAAGCTGTTGGCAATTGTCCCAGGTGAGGCAGTGAGTCTGAAAGACACTTTCTAAGAGTCCTATTAATGCCTGGGGTTTCTCAGAGAAAGGCGGATTTTGTGCCTTCCAGTTGTTCAGGTCACTAGTCGAGAAAGGCACGTAAACCATAAAGGGCCTGTCTGTGTGATGCCCCTGGGGTGGTGCTTCTCGCCAGAGAGAACGGCCAGGGTGGTGGTATCGGCCGGTGCCCCGCCCAGAGCAGGAGCAGGAGGCCCCTAAGGGTTACCTGCCCGCGCCTGGGGAGGTGAGGTGGTGCTATTGGGCCTGTGTTGTCCTGGATTATAGGGTGGGGGAAAGTCACTGTCCTCCGGTGGAGATTGGAGGACTGAGGAACTGGGCTGTCCTGGAGATTTCGGGGTACCTACAACTAAAACTCGCACTCCTAGAGAGAGAGCACACCGGTGGAGCCAAGGAGGGGGGTTCTGAACAAGGTTTAACCCTTGATCATGTAGGAAAACTGATCAGGATGTCCCAGGTCTCCTGTGACAATCTTCCAAACGTTCCTCACTAAACCCTTGTCAAAGGAGCCCTCTGGAGGCCAGTTTACACCAAAAGACGGCCACTCGACTTCACACAATGTTCTTAGTCTGCCTGGAGAAAACTTTATGCCATAATCAGCTCCCTCTACAAACCCTTCTTTGAAATGTCAGAGAAGACACCCCAAGGGTTTCTCCTGTGAACTCAAGACTCCCCCCATCACTTGCGCAGAAAACACAAAACAGACACTCAGACAAGAACAATTACCGGAGTGTAGGTGGACCCAAAGAAGTCCGCCACCTACAACATAGATAAGACCAAAGACAATAGACAAAACCGGAAAACAGGGCACAGGAGGTGGCGTCCTGCAGCCTGGCCATGGTCTAGGAGATATGACTGTGTCCAGTCTCTCCACTGACCGGTCAACAGAAACAGGAAGGTACCTTTTATCCAGACACCAAGGCCTCAGAGATTCTAGATTCCCGTTGGGACCAGGAATAAAGAGCGCGTCCTAAAAGTTGCATCCCTGACGATTGTACTGACCCGTCACAGCATTCAAGGGCCCTGGAAGTCTCAGGTTGGCCACCCCTTTGAATCCATAACAGGGACAGTAACCGCTTCGGAGGCCGGTCCGGTCTTAGATCCCAGGGCCACTCCCTGAGATCTCGCTGGGGCCTCCAAATATTGTAGCCACCAGCCCCCGAAAGACACACAGACCACCAGAAATCAGTGAGTTATAGGAATCACACTCTTTATTCAGCCAGCTGGGTCTGCCGCGGGTACACAGACCCCAAATTAAGCAGCCCCGAAATGTAGAGGTACAGGGCTTTTAAGCCGTAAATCCCATTCCTCATTCTGTCTTAAACACAAAGGTCTATTTTTCTCCTATTCACTACCTGTCAACCCACAGATCGGGTGTGCAAGTGGGGGTACAGAAGCAGAAAGCTTATTGTTAGAATGTTATATTCCCATGGGTGATAGCCTATGTTCCCATGGGCGATAGCCTATATTCCCATGGGCCAAGCAGTAATTTTCCAGCCAGCACAGGGTTATAGTTAATTCCATTCATTTTCTCTTCAGAAGTTTTTAGTGAAGAACTGCAGGCATTAGGTTACGTAAAAGCAGCTCAGCATATTTCTCTGAGGAAATACTTAGACTGAGTCTCAAAGAATTATATAATATGAGGAATGACTGTTCAAGCTTATCCAGGATTTAGGTTTGTCTTTTAGCTGCTACATCAACTAATTCTTTTTCTTTCTTCTTTTTCTTTATTTTTCTTTTCTTTTCTTTTCTTTTTTTTTTTTCCAGGGTAATCATGACATGGCCAAAGAGCTTTATCAGAGTTTGCTGACTCAGGTTGCCTCAGAACATTTCTACTTCTGGCTGAATAGTTTGAAGGAGTTCTCACATGCAGAACAGTGTCTCACTGGATTGCAAAAGGAAAATTATAGTTCAGCACTTTCTTGCATTGCTGAGTCTTTAAAATTCTACCACAAAGGGATTGCATCCCTAACGGTAAGTCCTTTTAATTCTCCGTTGGTGATGACGACTTACATGAAAATGATCTCTCTTCTTTTATTATTCTATTTTAATTACATTGAAAAACCTGCTGATACATATTTGGCAATATTAAAGTCATAAATAGGACATGGAAGTAAATCTTTAACCCTTTCCCCACTTTTTAACATTCATAGATTGGTGGAAGTTTATCTTGTTTTTATCAAGTACCAGGAAACACATAAGATTGCTGAATCCATGTAGAAAGGATAAGTGGAGATAGACTCCTCCCTTTCCAGAATCCTATTAGTAAGACCCCAGCCTGGGGCACGACCACCATCAAACACAAACCTCCCACCCATCTCACACCTGGCAGCTACTCACTAAGAAACTAGAGTTTCTTGCTTTGTGGGTAAAGAAGAAATTATCAAGCATGCATAATGTGTCACTTTTTATTCCTCTGTAATAGCCTCCTACTTCAAATTAACAGCCAGCTAAACTTTCCATTTTCTCTGCTGAGAAAGTAAGGGCATTGCAGAGAAGGCAGACTCTTAACATTTCTTGTTTCTTTGAAATCAGTTATATTCCTAAGTAAGAACCTGTTCCCTAAAATGAGCATTTTCTGTATTAATGCAAGGACTTTTTCCCCTTAAAAGTAAAGAGCTTACATAATTAACATTAAGCATTTTTTAACTATTGTCACACAACTTTTAAAATTGCATGTCTTTAGATGGGACCATAAAACTTTTGGTACCTGTTTATATACATTTATCACATAATCTAAGATATTTTTAATGATGAGCATCCCAAAAGAAATGCTTCAAAGCAGAACAAAGAATAAACAGATCACACACACACACACACACACACACACACACACACACACACAAAACAGGATATTCAGAATATGGGTACATATCTTTTGAATTATGATTTTTTTGGCTATGATTGATTGCTGTTTTAAAACAGGAGTATAGGAACGGCTTCTCTCCATTTTAAAGGGTAGCATTGACTACTATGATTCTTTCCTCTTGATTATTATCTGAAAAGATTGTCGTTGCCTGTTATCAGGCTAATAAATGCCTCAGAAAATCAAAAGTTACAGTTATTGGTTCCAATCAGTTGAATTATTTTCTAGTTTATATAGAGCAGAAAATTGTTAATTGTTCAGTATAGTAAATGATGAAAACTGTGAAACGGGCCCACAAAACTGTGAGGCAGATCGAATTAATATTATGAAAACCCCTGTTGAATATTTAATAGTCTTTTAATGATTTGTGTGGTATGTGTATTTAATGAGGCTTGGCAGTAATTAAGGACTGAATTCTGACATAGGACGAAAGTACTCATTGACAAACAGAAGACTCTTGTTTTAGTCTCTACTCTGCCATTAACACTTTGTGACCCAAGGCAGGTTGTTGAGCCTCAAATTATCTTTTTTTCAAATGGAGTTCTTTTTTTCAACAGACTTATAAGTATTTGCTGCATGCCATACACAACTATATGGATAAAAAAAAAAAAAAAAAATCAGGAAACGATTCTCTGTTTGAGAGTAGTCTGAGGGAAGGCAGCGTGAGCCCTACAGTCATTTGGAACTTCTCGGGTTTCTGATTATACTGTGCTGTCAGAGTTTTTTTAAACATTTTGTATTTACTCTGTACATTTGGCAAGTGTGGATTTGATGATAGCTTTCTATCTTTTTAACCAAGAAGGTATGAACATGGACTGCCCTTTTACTCTCTGACCTGTGACTGATCTAAGGTTCAAGGATGCTGAGGGTCCTTTTCTAAAGTCATGTATAAGAATTCATTTCCTCACAGCTGTGGAACTTGTGGAAGCTTCAAGGCCAACAGGAGAATCTCTCACCTTCAAGAGCCTCTTTTAATGGGCTTACCAGATTAGGAGAAATCTACTCAGAATAATCTCCCTTTATTAATATGAACTCACTTCATTAGGGACCTACATGAGATCCTCAAAAACTATCACCTTTGCCATTTTCCCTTAGAAGCACTTTACAGGTTCCGCCCAAACTCAAAGGGAGGAGATTAAATAAAGTGTGGATACCCGTGGGCATCAATCTGAGGAACCATCTCAGCATTCTGCCTACAGTGGTGGGTTTTTAATTTATTTTTTATTTTTGTTTTTATTAAATATCGATTAGGTATAATATCTACATATATATTATATAGGGTATATAAAGAAAACACAACAAATATATCCAAGTATACCCAGTATCCAGCTTAGGAAATGGGACATTAATATTGCCTTTAAAATTCATTTGTGTACTGCACCATCTTGCTGCTGTGTTTATCTTGTCTTAAATATATCTTTTTTTTTTTTCCAGGCTGCCAGTACACCACTGAATCCTTTAAGTTTTCAGTGTGAATTTGTAAAACTCAGGATTGACCTTCTACAAGCCTTCTCGCAACTTATCTGTACTTGTAATAGCCTAAAGACAAGCCCCCCACCTGCAATTGCCACAACAATTGCCATGACCTTAGGGAATGACCTTCAGAGGTGTGGTCGCATCTCCAATCAGGCATGTCTTAACTTTATTTTCAGTGCAGTTTTTATTTACACTTTAGAGGTTTTTGAGGTAGTTGTGAGATGAAAAATTCTCAACTTTAAAAATCAGTGGTTTGACTCAGAGACATTAAAATCAAATTCTTATCAACTCATCTGTCTTGCCAAAAATAGGCTGATGTCTTATTAGAATAACAAAGTGATTGATGATGTCTCACTAGATGCTACGTGTATATATATAAACAGAAGGGACATATAATTTTTAAAGAAACTGAGATGTTTATAACCATATTAATTATTTTAATAGAACTTAAGGTAAAATGTGTTTTTTTTGTTTATATAATAATGATAGCATGTTTGTTTATCACGATTAATATTTTTCCTTCTTTATAGATGAAACAGTCCATGGAAGAATTCCGAAGCCTTGCTTCCCGATATGGAGATCTTTATCAGGCATCTTTTGATGCCGATTCAGCAACTTTGAGAAATGTAGAGCTGTATCCTAAACTTGCCTTAGTATTTCTGTTCTTTTGAAGTATTCTTGTAAACATGGAGTACATAATTCAGATATGCTTAACTAAAAAATATCAGATCCGCCTGTAGATTTACTATAATTAATAATTTTTTCCTTTGGAATCTAAAATGATCAGTATAATTTTACTTTTCAGCTTTAAGCAGGCTTTTTTAAAAGCGGTGACTCAATGGTGGTCTTTCTCCAACTCCAGAAAGAGCATCCACAACCCAAGTCCTAGCAGTGTTGCATATTTGGTACATAATTGAGCTACAACAGATAACACAAAATATCTTCCCACCAGAGAACCATTTTCCGTTTTGCCTCACCTTCCTTTTTCATAGCTAATAACCCTAGTTCCCATCACCTTTGTTAAAGATCTATTCAATAGTTTTGGTCATCACTTTTGTCCCCTGAGCCCTCTTTAAGTTTTCCATATTATTAGCAGCCTCAAATCCTTTTTGAAAGGAAAGAAGAGATAAATTGTTTTTCAGTTTTAGGACCTATAACTCCATAGTTCTTGGCATTTCAGTTTACTGATGGAAAACCTAATGAATGCTGTGGACCCTCTCCCCTAAAAAGGCATATATGCACGTACCCCTTAAAATTTGCATAGTTTCAGATAGGTCAGCAGACCCCTTGGGCCCCAGCTTAGAGTCCACTCCATAGACTTTGTTATTGTTAGCTTTTGTCAATGAAACCCCCATATCTAAGACAGATTAAAAACAGTCTCTGTGATTGAATCACAGAGCCTGTTGCTTGGTTCCCCCTTCTCACATTAGGCAGCCTCTGAAGTACCCTGGGACAGAATTTGAGAATCATTATTTCAGACAACATATAGCCCTTAAAAAAAAAAAAGCCCTAGACTATTTGAGTCTATAATATATGGTTACCTACACTAAAAGTATGATCCTCATGTTGACTTATTTAATATTCAGATAATATAAAGGCTATAGTGGATTTGTCTATTTTCAGGTATAACCTTAACATTAATCCAGACAGCAGCAGAGCTGTTTGCTGATATCTCACGCAATAGAAGCTCTGATTTTGGACCCGGAATCTGCAAGGTATTTCTAATAATAGTTTACATTAAAGAATACTTTCAGATATGTTATCTTACTAATCATCACAACAGTGTTTTGGAAGAGTTATTATAGAAGAAGAAACAAAGAAGAAGAGCTTCTCCAGCATTTGCCTAAGGTCACACAGCTAGTAACAAAACCTGGATTTTTTTGACCACATTGTTTACTTGCCTCCTGCCCCCTGTCTTCCCAACATTGACTTGGAAAAATAACTGAGAAGAAATTATTTGAATTTGAATGTTTTCTTCTTCTTTTTGAACATTTTCTTCTTGTATATTGTAACTAAAGTTGGATATGAAAATTTGAGTTAATTATATAATAAGGCATGAACTTGAAATTTTTATAATTTGGTTTCTCAAACAAAAAGACATTCCTGTTTTTGCTTTATTAAAATTTTTCTCCCCTCCCCTATTAACGAATGAATTTTTCAAAGTATTTATAAAAGAATAATCCATTGTTTTTTCCCATTATAGTATTCTCTTTTGGAATATGCATTTTCAACTGTCTATAATTTCCAATCTAGTAAGGCCTGTGATTCCAAGACCAGATTCTTCAAAAATAATATAGTCAACAATGCATTTTAAATTTCTCTACCCTAAAACGTGGACTTACCATTTCTTTTCAGGGCAATAACCAGATTCCTTGCCTTCTCTTGGACTAGGCTACCTGGTTATTTTTTTTTTTCTTCACTCATCTGATTAATTTTAGTATTTTTAACTTATTTTTCCATTTATCCTTCTGTCGTCTATGTTTATTTTCTCCTTGGTTTACAGTGTTTGACTAGTAGTGTGTTGGTTTGTTTGTTTTTTTTTTAATAAGCTCCTCCCTTTTAAATTGGAAGATGTTCTTAAACCTCTGTATTTTCCAGTCTTTGCCAATTAATTGATACTTCCAGGCTCACATTATTTCTCATCGTGCCATACTCATGTAACGTCCTATAACACAAACATCATTGCACTACTGGTTGACATAATAGAAATTAGTGTTTCTCTTGATTAACTTTTTATCAGAGAGATGGGCACATGGTCGGCAGGGATGGGGTGAAGGGAGTTATCTAGCTAGCTCGCACATACTGCTCTCTCACCCCCTCCCCTTGCTACCACTTCTCTTCACTCTTTTCCATCCCCTTTTTCATCCCCAAAAGCATCTCCCTAAACTTTGTCCTTCATAGCAATGAAAAATTGGGGGGAAAAAAGCTTGTACCTTGAAGGGCGAGTTCTTTGGGTTTCATTTGCAAGTGTACAACTGCAAGGAGTAGATTCCTTCTAAAACTTCCATTCTTGATAGTGTATATTTGTGCCTTCCATGTAAAGAAAGACCTACTGCTGAAGTGAACCTCAAGTGAGGCATGACATTGATGTTTCACTGTAGTTTTTACAAAATCTATGTATCTCTTTCATAGCCTAGAAGGTTTTTTTGGAGAAGAGACCTTGTCTTATTCAACTGTTTATTTCTAGCAGCTAACAGAGTGTCTGAGCCAGTATCAATAAGCGTGAGATAGAGTCGGGGAGATGTTTGTAATCATGAATGTTATCTACCTCATACCAACTTTTCAGGATTATCAGAAAAAAAATATTTTGAGATGCTCGTCCATTACATTTTTCTATTCCAACTTCTTATTCAGTCTGCCATGATTCCTTTGTACTTAACCTTTATTTCTACTGCCTAAACAGTAAGAGAATGACTTCAGAGACAAGGTTTAAATACTTTTTTATACTCCTTAACAACCGATTAAGACTTGTATAATTTAAAGTCAGGTGTGGGTTTGAATTTCACCTTGTCACTTACTAGTTATGTGACTGAAGGCAAAATTACTTAACCTCTCCAAGCCTTTTTCCTCATCTATGAAATGAAATTACCAGTATGTACTTAATTTAAAGATGAAATGAGAATGTGTAGAAAGTACCTGACACATTTTGACATTAATATAGTTACTATTTTGGTTCATTAGTTGATGTTGATTTTGACTTCAGTTTCCAGGAATATGGATCTACTGGAACAGCCCATGCTGATAGTGAATATGAGAGAAGAATGATGTCTGTGTATAATCATGTCTTGGAGGAGGTGGAATCACTCAATCGGAAATATACCCCTGTTTCTTATATGGTAAGTGGCATTTGTTTACTTGAGTTTTTATGACGTGGAAGTGGGTTTTTATCCATCTCTGGCACTTACTAAAACTGTATGACTCCAACAGATTAACCTCTCTGTGCCTGTTTCCTCTGTGCCTGTTTTATAACAGTTTATAGTACCTACCTCCCATTGTTATAAGGATAAAATGAGATAATGATCCATGAAAGCACGTAGCTCATCTGTAGTTGCTCCATAGTCACATTAACATGTCAAATCTGCTCTGCCAGAATGCAGATAAAACTCTTTTTCTTTTTTAACAAGTTAACTGAAGTTGCAATTATTCTCAAACGTGGCTACACGTTAGAACCACTTTGGGAGCTTGTTAAAAACTACATCAGTATCTGGGCCCCACTTTAGACCAATTAACTATATGAATCTGTGCAGTTGAGGCCCAGGCATTAGCATTTTTAAAAGCTCCCAAGTGATTCTGTTATGCCACCAGGGTTGAGAACCACTGGCTAATTGAAACAGAAGGAACTGGGCTTGTTATCTGACCGGCAGAAAATCAGTTCCTACCAAGTGGTGTCATTGATACCTTTTAGTATACTTGTCCACCTTTAGCCTACTGATTTCTGCTGCCTTTGGCTCTGCTGAGCACTGGCTATTTATTTAGTCTTCTCCTCTGACTTCCCAGTCACAGAATAGACTGACACATTCTCACCCAGATATTCTCCTCCCTGTCTGGCCATTCTCTAGAGTCTTAGTTCAGGCTCCTATAACAAAATACCATAGACTTGGTAGCTTAAACAACATTCATTTCTCATAGTTTTAGAGGCCGAGAAGTCCAGGATCAAGGTGCTAGCCAGTCCAGTTCCTGGTTAGGTCCCCTTTGCTGGCTTGCAGACTGCCGCTCTCTTACTGTGTCCTCATGTGTCGGAGAAAGAGCGAGCTCTGGTCTGTCTCTTCTTATAAGGACACTAATCCCATCATGGGGCCCTATCCTCATGACCTCATCTAAACCTAGTCACCTCCCAAAGCCCCTGCCTCCAAATACATTGAGAGTTAGGGCTTCACCATAGGAATTTGGAGAAGATAACGCGGATTCAGTCCATAACACCCTGTCTTTGAACTTCACTCCTTGGAGAGTTTTTCTTGCCCTGCCTGCACATTAGGTGCTGGTATTCCCTGTAGCTCTCTTCCATTTCCTGCTCTTCTCATTCTGTTCTCTCATCAGTTTAGCAAGTGTTTTAGAAGAAATCGGCAGGATATAATGTTAAAGAGATTAGATTTTAAGGACACTCTTTGACATACAGCTTTCCACATAATATTGTCAATACATATTTGCTGAATTGAATTAAAACAAGTAACTGTTTGACACTGAGATTAGTTGCTAAGGGAGACCGTAAAGATTATCTTTGAAGTAAACACACATCTGTGTGAGACATTGATTAAATTATTTTCATGTTCCTTCTGAGCTGCACCCTAAGAAACTAAGTAGATGCTAAATGGTAACTCAAGTCTGGTGGTATTATTGTTACTGATTTTGTTATCTATGCAAGTGTTGGTAGTTTTTAAATTTCTTCTAGAAAGTACCATTTCTTGATGAAATTTGGACATTTATTATCTTTTGATTCAGTTTCTCTTTTTTCCCCCCCACTAGCATACAGCATGCCTCTGCAATGCCATCATTGCTTTGCTGAAAGTTCCTCTTTCATTTCAGAGATATTTTTTCCAGAAACTGCAGTCTACCAGCATTAAGGTAATATAGGAAGAATACTGAGGTTAATATAGATTAAAAACTCAGTTATCTTCCACAGGTTAAGTGGGAGGGACATGGCTCTTCTTCAGGATCTTACCTTTGGTTTTGATGAAACTTATGCCCTTTAGTCGTAAGCCTTTCTTCCCTTTACCAGCTGGTTTGGTGAAGGAAGTGGAATACCTGTCAGTACCAAATGCTGTGAGACACACGTTTGGGTACCTGGAGCTCTGTCCCTTGGCTCTCTACTCCAAGAATAAATTGAGTGGTTTTCATCATAGTAGCCTGCAAAGTTCTTGAACTGAGTCCACCTCTGATCAGCCTATTCAGACCCAACTTTGAATGATTCAGGTCTAGTAAAACATCTCCAGGCCTACCTCCAAAGTACTTTTGTCTTTGAATAACAAGTTTTGAGGAGCTGGCTAATGAGTAGAGTTAGTATTTTAATATATTTAAGCCACTAAAATTCAAAAGCTGTTTTTGATTCAAAGAATTGGGAATTCTAGGGAAAGCGGAGAAATTGCCACTTTTGAAAGATTTCCTGGATTATCCCTGTCAGTAAATATCTTCCATGCACTTTTGCACCCATTCTGATGCTTTTGGTTGCAAATAACAAACAACAAAGCATGCCATTTCAAAATGACCTGAATAATAAGGAAAATTAATTAGCTAGATTTGAAGTCCTAAGGGGGCAGGTTTCCAGAGTTGATTACTTCAACGGCTCAGCATTATCAAAAAGACCCAATTTTTTTTATCTTTTCGTTTAACAAGACTTGACTTTCTATAGTTGAAATGTATTGAGGATTTTTAATATATTTTTAAAGAAAAACTACGCTAATGAGAGGTTTAAAATGTTATTTGGTTCATGTGTAGAAACTGACTTTTATACTATGGTACTTGGTTGTGTATGTAATCTTAGAATTCAAGTTCAGTTGCCTTTGAATATAGTCAATTTAAAATTACCTAAGACCAAAGAGACAGCAGCTAGACAAGACAATTTACAGTTTTTTTCACTACTAGAGTTGGTTTATTGTCAAAGAAATGTACCCCCCACCCCAGAAATTGGGAGAACAGTGCCTTTGCTATTCTCTAATCCTCTGTTACCCTCAAAAAGAACGGGGGTTTGGGGTACAAAAACAACACAAAACTGGGATATTTAAAGGAGGCATTAGGGATAAGCAACTTTTGACTTTAAAGGTGACATCTCTCTGGTTTGTCAGCAGTCGGGTCATTAGGGTGTTTGTGTGCGCGCGGGCGTGTGCACGTGTGTTTGTGTGGTGTTTTAACCTATAACTAACCATTAGCATAGACATGTTTGTTGGAAGGAAGCTTGTTCTTGGTTGTTAGCGTTTATTTTAATGTTGGTATTCCAGCTTGCTCTGTCACCATCCCCACGGAACCCTGCAGAGCCCATCGCTGTCCAAAATAACCAGCAGCTGGCGCTGAAGGTGGAGGGAGTGGTTCAGCATGGATCCAAACCAGGACTTTTTCGCAAAATTCAGTCTGTCTGTCTGAATGTTTCTTCCACGCTACAGAGTAAATCTGGACAAGACTACAAGGTAATTTAGAAAAGAGGCAGATTTGTGATGTGAATTTTATCAACTCATTGATGGAAGTTTTCCAGCGTTTTTCACGGTTAAGCAGATTGCAGTTCTTCCCAAGGGATCAGATGGGCATGAGTTAAAAGTACACATTGGGGTCTGAGGTGCTAATGAACAACACATCTCTTTTCCCTGCTGGAACCAGTTGATAAACGAAGCATCCAGGCAGAGAGCAGACTATGAGTGTTACTAGAGCCGTGAGAATCCTAGCTCAGGTGCCTGGTGGCAAGGACTTCCTAGCCTTGTACCTTTAAAGTGAATTTTCCTACCCAGTCTCAGCCAGTACACACAAGAGCCTGCCCCTGTAAAACTGATGGCAGGAAAGAGTACCCGGAAGCCCAGAGAAGAAGGAACGAGAAGGTGCTGAGCTCCCCGTGCCAGTTCCCACCCTGAAACTTACAGTCAGCAGGATCCACCTGCCCTGGAGACCAGCACTGTTCATCTGACAAAAGGTCCCGCCATGTGACGGGAGGCGTCAAGAGTGGAGAATAAGCGTCTCCCTCGCCCCCACTCCCCCAAAAGAACACATCTGGTTATTTTTTTCTATTTTAAGTAAATTTTAGCATTTTCAAAAAAAAAAAGTAGATAGCATTGACATACAGTGGTCAGATAAAGTAAAATCTTTCCTTATGGATATAACCATGGGAATTTGCCATTTTGAGAAATCATGAAGTAAGTTAACCAAAATCATTTTTAGTTTGTTCGCCAAAGCTAAGGTTCTGAATCTGTGCCCATGAAATACCAGTCTTCCAAATGTAGAATGCTCGTTCCTTTAAACATCTCCTTCCAATTCCTTGCAGGTTTATTCACAGTAAGTGGGGCATGGGATCAAGTACACAGTTGTGTGAACAGACTGTTCAGATGGCTAAATTGGTTGTGTCCAGGTTTATTGCAGTAGGCATGCCTGAATTGAGCTTTATCGCAAGGAAAGGGCTATCAGTAAAGATATAAAAAGGGAGTGTTTTATTCTCTTTGGTGGTTTTAGGCTAAAAAGCCAAAGGAAGGTCTAGTTTAAGCCGTCCTCACCTTTACTTTGGTAACTTACTCTTTCTGCCACTGCCTAATCTGATAAGGTTCTGCCTTCATTCTCTTCTCGTCTTCTCTTTTGACTTTCGTGACATAAAACATGGCGCCTTATATAGACAATCAGTAAATATTTGGTGACTGATGAAAAAAATCATGTACTGTATTTAGAGTACAACTATTACGTTTGCGTGATCTCTGTTGTCACAGATCATAATGGGAATTCACATAGTTAACTTGTCCCTGTCTGCCACTTTTTCCTCACTTTGTGTTTGAAAGAACAGTAACCATGGTTCTCTTTGTTCCTTGTATATAATGATTTCTACTATTAAGAAAAAAAACATTTAAACTGGAAAGTACTGGTCTGGTGCTTGCTGATTTATCCCTTGAGAGGCATGACCTAAGTCAGGAAGTTGGTAGAATAAGCTGTATTGTTCATGATTGTTTTGTAATGTTACTCTCGGTGAGTTTGCAACTTAAAGTGCATCATCTGTTCAGAGAGATCAGGTCGTTTTCTGGTCCTTTTAAGGAAGTTCTTGTTTGATAGACATAGTCTTGAGGGAAATAAAAACTCTAGAATAAAGTTGAATGTATAAACAGCAACAACAACAACAACAAAAGCAGGAAAAGACCTATAAATAATTCCAAGGTATTAAATTGGTTGGTGACTTCTTTTCATTAATATTACAGGTAGATGTCTCTGGAAAACTGGCCTCATGATAACTGTTTATTGAGACAAAGCTTCAGGGTGCATTTGTATAATTAATTATACAACAGAAACACACATAAACGTAGAGCAATCTAGTGAATTATTCATTAAGATTACCTTTATATGCATTCTCAGAATAAGTATCTCTTTGCCATACTTCATCTCGGGGAGAGCCAAGGGTACACCAGCAGGTGTTATTCTGTTCTTTGAAGGGCAAGGGCACAAGTACCTAGCTAAATAAATGAGCCCACAAATCTATATTACAACATATATTGCCATTCTGAACAAGACACTGATTAAGTGAGCAAATGTACAAGTTCGAAAGTTAATACTGAGGGAAGAATCACCATATTAAGAAATATAAAATCAGACTAGTTAGGAGGGAAAAAACCTAACTTACATATACTTTTTATGTTCCTTTAGTGTTATGTCTCTTAGATTTTAAACTCCCTGAAACAGGTTATTGCATCTTGTTTCTTCAGATTATCTCTTCATAGACTAAAGGAAGATGAGAATTGAAGTTGGGGTTGGGTATGCAAATGTAAGGGAGGAAAAATTTCTTTTATATCCTCCTAGAGTCTCCGCTGGGCCTAAGATTAAATTGACATTAAGGCAGAAATCAACAGGAGAAGAGCATACAAGTATTACTAAAATTTTACATGTAGATGGGAGTCTTCACAAGAGAACAGAGACCCAAAGAAATGACCAGAGCAGAAAGCTTATATACCTTTTAGACACAGAAATGATAAATTCATGACAAAATGACAAGACAAAGGGGTTTGGGCTTGGGGCAGTGTATTGTGGGGAATTGACTAGATCTGTTGGGGCAGTGGGCAAGACTGGTAGGTTTGTTCATAGAGATCCATTTCAGTGTCAATTCTCAGTCTCTGGTGATAAGGATGTATTTATCTTCCTGGTATAGGGAGGCTACCTTTCTCATGGGAGATTCTGTTGCCTGTTTCAGGTGAAAAGGGGCAGAGAGCCCTTCCTGCGTCTGTTGTTCTTAAGTGCCTTTAGTTAAAAATAATCAGTATGCCAAAGCAGCATGTTTTGGAGTGGCATGTCCTGAACTCCTTCACTAGGGAGAAAGGGCAGCATGTGCAGGAGTTGAGAAAGGCTCAAGGAGTTCGTTCTCCTCAAGGATAGGAGGCAGTATCACTTCATAACTAAAAGTAGGCTCTAGAGTTAGCCGGCCTAGCTCTCCCACTCATTAGTTGTGTAAACTTGGAGAAATTACTTAACCTCTCTGCTTAGTTTCCTCATCTGTAAAGCAAGGATAATAATAGTACGTACCTCTTGGTTGTTTGCATGGCTTAAATAAGCACTCAGGCAGGACCTAGCTCATAGTAAGCACTCGATAAATGTTAGCTATTGTTGTTTTTAACAATTCTTTTATTGCAGATACCCATCGACAATATGACCAATGAGATGGAGCAGAGGGTTGAGCCTCATAATGATTACTTTAGTACTCAGTTTCTGTTGAACTTTGCTATCCTTGGAACACACAATATTACAGTGGAATCTTCAGTGAAAGACGCCAATGGTATTGTATGGAAGACTGGTCCCAGAACTACCATATTTGTCAAATCCCTGGAAGACCCTTATTCCCAGCAAATCCGCCTACAACAGCAGCAAGCCCAGCAGCCATTACAACAGCAGCAGCAACGGAATGCCTACACGCGATTTTAGCCACGTGACGAGTGTACTACAGGCTTTACAGGAATCGATGAAATTGTCAAAAATAGTTTGCTTTTCCACATGGATTAAGATATGAAAGTTTTAACGCAGACTCTGTTTACTCATTGGTTTCTGCAATGTAATCTGAAAAATGATTTTTTTTACCTTAAAAATTTCATTCGAGAGATATTTGGGTTACTAACCAGAAAGATTTTTTTCCCTTGTTCCTTTAACCAAGTCCTTTATCTCATATTTAACATTTTCATTCTTTTATTAGTGTTTTTACTGCTGCTGAGCCTTTTCTTTTTCTTTCAAGAAAAGTCACATATTGGGATCACTGAATTAGTAAATTTGACTGTTTCTCTACCAAAATATACTACTTGCTGCTTGACACAGGCCTGTAATTCTGAGCTATGCCTTGGGGAGTTCTGACCAGTAGGGTACAGGGTTCACCCGTAGTAGAAGAAACTGAGTCTTCCCGTGGGTGGACTTAGAAATGTCCCCTGAAACGTCCAGTTTCTGGGTTACGAGAGCAGGCAGTCTAGCAGAATTGAGACATCCTGCTATACATATTATTTCAACTACTTACCTATCTGTTCTGTGCTAAAGCAATCTTAATTTATTGTTTTAGTATTTAATTGACCCAAAGAGCAGCTAGCAATTACATAGGAAGATTTGGAGATTAATAATTTTTTTTTTATTATGCGTGTGATTGTGTAGACTTTGTACATTGTTTCTAAGAGTGAAAAAAATCACTCACATTTAATATCTTATTGTTTTAAGGTAGGAGGGCAGATCTTTTCCTTTGATTGATTTAGTTTCTTCTTGGCAAGTTCTGTAACGCTAGACTTGATTGTCTAGAAAGGACCGTCTCCTTATAACCAACCTCAATTAGTTGAGATGCTCAGGGAATAGAAGTTTTCTGGTTAGCCAGAAAACTCCTTTTTTCTATTTCAATACTGGCTGAAAACCATTGTAAAATCTAATAATAGTATGCTTTCTTGTCTTAACACAGTGCAGTAGATAAAATTTAACTATTCTTTCTTGATTTGGGATCAGTCAGTGCTTTGGGATCATGATTTCTAAACATCAGGGATCACAGATTGCAGATATCGATGATATGGTCACTTAGGCTGGAATCAGCTCTGAATGTGAAGCAGACACATTCCTTGGAAGTTTCTTTTTAAAATAAATCTCTCAATTTCATTGTTTGTGTTTTGCCTTTTTCTCTTTAAAGTTGACATTGGCTCCAAGGAGGAATAGAGTTTAAAGTAAAAAATGTTTGGTTTTTTTTCCTTGTCATATGGCCTCTGCAGGTGAGGATTGATTGGCAACTCAGGTAGGTCCCTATAAGATCGCTTGGCTTCATGAGCTATTGTCCCAGCACAACACATTTCACTGCCAGCAACCAGATCATTGTCCACTAATGACATCCCTCTAGACGTGGCCCAGTTGTACCCTAGTACATGGTGATGCACAGTCGTGACAGTATCTGAGAATATAGCTTTAGGAAGAATTGCCCCTGCCCTTTTACCAGGTATAGAAAAAGCTGAGTCAAAAAGAATAGCTTCCACTTTGGGCTCTGAGGAATTAGCTCTGTGACCTGGGGCAAGTCACTTCATCTCTATAGACTTTAGTTTCCTTATTTGTAAAATGAATGAATTAGACTGGATTACTTGACTCCAGTCTAGAGTTTTGTTATCAGGTGACTGACTGAAAGACTAAAGACCAGGAAAAAAAAGATTCTTAAATTGAGAAAACCCTTTTTTTCCCCCCACTAAATGGCTATTTTCAGAAGGAAGTTTTATGATGTCAATTTCAGGTTTTTGGTACTGTTTCAAGGCAGAATTCTCTAGAAAAGAAGCAAATCTTGAAAGCCTCCAGTTCTTCTAATTCCCTTTGAGAGCTTTCCAAATTTTATAATCTGATAAGATGTTTTTGATAGCTGTAGTTATAAACTCTTTGATTTGGCGTAGTATAGGCCCCTGGCACAAATTTGGGAAGGAATTATTTAAATAAAAACATTTAAATAGTTCAGAGTATGAAAATAACTCTGAAACAAAAGTCTCTTTTCAGTATGTCCATTAGGCCAAGGATTGGGACTCTGTCTGATTTTATGTTTATATCTGCTGCATTTTTGGCATCAACTATTAAACAGTTATTTGTAGTTCAGGGAAACTATTTATAATTTCCACACAACTCTAATGAAAAGCAAAATAAATACTCAGGGAATTACTCAGAAAAGAAAAATATACACAGCGATTATGAAGTGAGGACATTTCCTGAATTTAAAATTATGGATAATAAAGGCTCTGGCTGAATGATGCTGGGATGACAGGAGTAATTTTCTCAGCGTTTAGTGACATTGCAGTATAACCAGGTGCTAAGAGCACAGCCTCTGGAGCCACACTATTTGGGTCCAAGTCCTAACTCTACCTAACTTTGTGACCTTGGACAAGCTATTTAATTTCTCTCTGACTCGGTTTCCATATTCCTAAAATTGGGAAGCATAATAGTGTTTCATGGGATAGGTGTGAGGATTAACTGAGTTAATATAGAATTAATATATGTAAAGCACTTGGAACGTGCCTAGCACATAATAAGTAGATATATAAGTGTTTGCTATCATTATTATCATCCTCACTTAGTATCTTTCCCAGTGTTAGATCAGTTCTAAATCTTAGCATTTTATTTTTTCAAAATAAAAGTTGTTTTTTTAGGCTACCTTCCCTTTTATTCAGTTTGGGTACATTGACTAATAACAATATGACTTAATGATGACCTAAACAAAATGTAATTTCTGTCTTTTACTGTGCTGTAAATCCTACTTAATCGAAATATTTAAAGACAGACATACAAAGAAAATTATGGAAATACTTTCTAAAGCTACTGATTCCTTTCAAGGGTGATAGCAGGAGTGTATGGACTATTTAGAAATTAAAGTACTACTATTTTCCACTTTAAGAGATCTTGTGATATGACCTGTCTGATTCAGACCAACCAAGGTGTCAAGTAATTTGTAACTGGAGGCTGTAAGTCACTTTTTACATTAAGATATGGTTCAAAGAAGAAAAAAGCAACCGAGCAAGATCCTTAGATTAGGGTCCCAGAGATGTCAGTTTAAGTTCCATTATAAGACTCACTTGCCGTGCATCCTTAGATAGGTCACTTGATCTTTCTGTGTCAATATCTGCCAGCAGTATTGAGACTAAGATGCCCCTGCCACCTGGTATACAGAGTATATGCGGTGCTGTCCAATAGAACTTACTGTGATGATGGAAATGTCCCAAGTCTGCACTATCCAATATAGCCACTAACCACATACAGCTATTTAGGACCTGAAATATAGCTGGTGTGACCGAATCTTATTTACTTTTGATTCAGTTAAATAGTCTCATCTGGTTACTGCCCATACAGTGGGATAGTACAGAAGTGAAAAGTGAAGAAATGAGATTCACTATTATCTTAGATCCTGGAAAACTCTTAAGTAAGTTTCCATTTAAGGGGTCTACATTGAAATTCTTTGACACACCAAAGGTTTCACATGGAAGAGTGTAGATAACAAGGGTTTTAGAGTTTGTGTGTTTGCTTTGCATCTGGTGATAAAATACTGTGTTGCTCAACAAAACACCCAGCCCTGTTCTTTATATAATGTACCCTTGGTTTAGCCTTTTTCAGTCACCAACATTAAAAGAATGATGAGATGTATTGAGAGTTCTAAAAACCAGGTGAATCGGCTTAGATTTCCTACCGATAGCACTCCAGGAGGTAGGTTATTGTCTTCCTTTCCATTTCTTGCCCAAGAACCCAAAGACCTTTTAACATCATGGGCTGTGTATTCTCTTGGCTTGGCTGGAGCTAATCCATTATCCTGTGGTATGTAGTCTAAAGTGCTCATCCCATGAACAATTTAATTTTTAATTGTAATCGAGACAAACAGAGTGAGTCATGTTTAAATGACATAAGACCTGGAGCCATTGGTTTCCACATTCTACTGAAGAATGTTGAATGTTGTAAATTAACTTTTTTCAGTCTGTAACTTTTTCCTTACCCTTCTACTTACTTGCTAACCCCAGAGCAGTTCTCTCTCGCACAGTCAAGTTCGTTGTGCAGTAATAGTCTTCTTTGCTTATTATTTAGGCCTGGCTAAAGATTGAAACTTGATGACATGAGTTTGGGGATCGTCTTCCTTACAGATCATGTCTATAGGTGTAGCTTTTGTTTAATGATATCTCGCTGGCAAACTGAGACTAAAAAATTTTTATCCTTGTTTCCAGATCATTTTTTTAGTAAAATTATGAAGTCGAGATAATATCAACTGAATTAGAACAATCAGGAAAATGAACAGCTACCCAATATCTTCAGAAGTCAGGATGAGTTTAAGAAAATCAGACCGAATGCAAGGAAAATATATTCTCTATATGACCTTTTGGTTTTCTTGGAAGACTTTATTTGTTGGTTTTGATGAAGCTTATTTGTGACTAGTAATCAAAAATGTTTAAAATACAGAACTAGAACAAATAAAATAGTACTGAATTAGACTGAGGAATTATGGGAAAATATGAATGTCAAGTTCTCCTATTTCCCAGCACCGTGGAAGGTGAGAGTAGGCTGTACTGCCTGAAGAGTTCTTTCCTCGCCATTGGAAACAGTGAAGCTAATGATGCTTTTTGTTTATGTGTCATCTCACCCTAAGGAGAAGAGCAAAGTGATGGTGAATTGTTAACATTTGTATCCCCCACCCACCAGTAAAGTCAGACAGCATGTGTCAGGAAGGTCAGCTCTGAAGTCCCCCCCCCACCAGGATAGGAGAAGTACATGAAAAGCCTACTGTAAAAATGCAAATGAGGGCGTGGCCTTTCCCAGTCCAAGCCCACGCCATGCCAGGCCACGAGCTGGGGGTGGGAAATGTAAAAGGAAACTGACAGGGCCCTTATTTGACAGGAAAAGATCTCTATTTTCAGAGAATGTGGAGAGGGCTTTATAAAAAGCTGTTGACAGAGCACAAAAGATGCCATTTCTGAGATTCTAATAGTATCTCTCCTTGAATGTACCGGTCAGGACAGGCTCTTAGGTAATTAGAAAACTGGCCATCATTTGGCATCTTCTTTTGCAGCACTTGGAATGCAAGTGTCCCTTCCAGCTCAGAGGGCCTCTTCTTGACATAATCAGAGACCACTGGGTACCTACTACTTGGAAGCCAGAGAGGAATAGAAGAGCATTTGGAAAAAAGGTATACCCCTAAAGTATAAAGTTAGTATTTAACCTCGAGGAGATAGCTTACACTCAAAAAGAAGTAAATAGTGTCTCATATTGCAGAAACTGCTGCTTCTGGCCAGGCTGTTGGATGACACGAACCCCTCAATGTCACATTTCAATGTTATCAGCGAATTAGGGAGAAATGACTAATCACAGAATCTGGTGACATCAGATCTATCCTGCTTAGTGTTACAGTGGCCCCTGGGATGCTCAAAAGCATATTACCCCTGGCTAGAATTTCTCTGGAAGTCAGTGCATCTGGAACCTCCTTGAGGGCCCTTGACGCAGGGCAGGGCCTGTGAGTGTCCTAAGCCCTCCATCCCTCACCCACCTCCCCCGTGTGACTGGCCAGGAGTAGCTGATGGAAAAAGCATTTTCCCTTCATCCTGAGCACTGGAGGTAACTCAGCTGAGATCACACGGCACCGTAGCTCAGTCAGCAATATTCGTTTGAGCAGGTGTTTCCCAGATCTATGCCAAAGGCCCAGCCAACAAGGACACAAACAGTTTTGAAAACAGGTGGCCTTTTATTTATTCACCAGATGTTTACTGAATGCATACAGGGTACCAGGAACTGGGAATACAGTGATGGGCAAGCTCCTTGGGTTCGTGGCTATGCCACTCTTGTTTTTTCACAGACCATGAGAAGAAGGCTGCGAGAAACCCACCCAGGCCTGGATTATGCTGGGCGGGCCTGAGCTTCCTTGGTGGTTGATCATCTCCTCCTGGAAAGGGGGAAGGAGTGAGTTTGGACAGGACTATCCAGGTCAGAATTGCTGCCATTTCTCGTGTGGCCCTTCGGAAAAGCTCAGCTGGAGCGTCTACCCGTTGATACCTAACCATCTTCACAGTTCGCTGAGTTCTTCCTTACATCCAGCCTGAACACCTCACGGAGACCTTAACCTGCTCCCGTTCTGTGTTTGAGGAAGATGGCAAACTCCCCAAAGG